TGCCTTGAAGTTCAACATTATGTACACTTCCACTATCTCCTACTGGAAAGCTGAATTTTCTGATTGATAACCTGAACGTAAACTTATATCATACTACTTCATAATAATTATGCTTCAGGCATAATTATTTAAGGCATAATTAAAAGGCATTTTGCTTCCTTGAAACAAGATGTTACAATGGTAGCTTTTCCATTACAGTGTAGATTTTCTCTAACAGACAATCAGGGGTGACAATGAAACACTGTGATAATTAAACAAGAGTGGTAAAATGTGAAAGCACTCTGAGTTAAGAACCCTATTTAGCATCACATTTAATTCAGTATTCAAGCAAATATTGCTGATAGGATTACATGAAGAACTTACTAAGTATGAAGAAAAGCATTTCTCAATTATAATAAAATTGGCTTACAGGAAGAGTAATTTTTAATATTAGGACAGACAATATTGAGGCCACATCCATTTATTTAATATTTATCTTGATCTTCTATTAAGTAATCTCTTATGGAAGACAGATCTTCCCCAGTAAGAACGCTAACATACAGTAGCCAGGGCCCAATCTCCAAGCAATGCTGTGCTTAGAACTAATGTGTGTGGATCCCCCCTGAAGTTTATTAATACAATGTTGCCTCTTCCTACTGTGACTAGAATCTGCTAATTATTCAACAGAAATTTCCACCCGAGAAAATATCAATCCAGTAAAATCCGCAAGGACTACGCATTCAACCATAAGAGCCTGAAGAATTAGCATGTCTTCATGGCATCTCCTGCATCAGATAGGAAACATTTAAGAGATCAATCATGAGCTCTTCCTGGAGTCATCTCCTACTCAATTAAATTGCCTGGGATCTATCTAGCAAGCTGTCATACAGGAATATCTGACTGCGGGATTTGGATATAAATCTGTATTACTGTCATTAAATTCAAATGCAAACATGAAAACAGTTTTTGAAAAACAAGTTTAAGTATCATACCTGGCTCTTATTGGGAAGTTCTGAGCAATGTCTTTCATTACCTTTAAAGCATCATAAACAGGGGTAGACATAACTCGAGCAGCTGCTTGAAAACTAAGATCTGGCATAGGGGGAAATAAAAAACAAGATCACTGGAAATATCACTCTCAATCATTACTGCCTACAATCAGAAAACTGTTCTATATAAACACTCACTATTAATGTATTTTATGTTTCAATCAATGATTCAGCAAGAAGTAACATTATTAAGGTTGAAAAGATGGTCACTTGAAAGTTGGAATATTAAATTCAGGATTTTCTACAGAATTCTGCTTAACTTTCTTGAACATACACATTGTACGTGTAATTTCTAAATTTACAGAAACACACTGAAACAAACCCAGACCATTCATCACACAGTATTATGGTGTTATCACAAGGGTATCTCACACTCAAACCTAGATACAAACCAACCCACAGAAAACCAGAACTGCAGTAAAAAGTAAGATTTTTCCAGCTCCAGGACTTAACAAGATTTTCAGAGAACAGATATATTTAACATAGAAGGTTGCACTGAGCACGTGAATAGTACAGTTTTCAAAAGTAACAGCAATTTCACAGAAAGAAAATGGAGACTCGTGAAAGAAAGGTCAATCTGTCAAATATCAGGTTCTCCTAAGTGTCCAGCACAATTTTTAAAGGGATTTCATTTTACTCTCTATGCTTTTTCTCAGAATGAAGTAAATTTTCAGATTTCAGAACAGTTTAAAATTCATTTGTCTATGCACTAAAAAAACAATGATGGAATTCAGTTAGCTGTCTCCGGTGTCTAACTTGAGTGTGGCAAATTTTGGCATGTAAGAATAGGGAAAATCCAATTTTTGTACCAATGAGGTAAGACAATAATATACCAGGTGCTTCCATGTACCTTGGATACAGTCTGCTTAACTACCTCAGGGCAATAATGCTTCTTCTTCCTAATTTGCTAGTTAAGACACCTGAGCAGAAACTGAAAGCCTTGGATTATTGAGTTTGAGGAAAGCTGATGCCACATATTGTAAAAAGTGCTGGGCAGAAAATAATTGAGGATGCTGCCTACTAAAACTTTGCACCAACTTTTCAAAGTAATTAGGAATTAAAAAAAAAAAAGAAGGCTGAAGGAAAGTAAATAACATAGACTCTTAGTTTAGTCTGATAAAGTATACCTTGGCTGCAAAGAAAGGTGAGAGGTGGAATGTTAACTTGGTATTTCTTAATACTTATTAAAAAAAAGTATAAAAAGAGATTGCTCTTTTAAAAAGTACGTTTCAGATCCCTTTCAACAGGCACATAACTTGTCATCAGGTGAAGCAACACCCAGTTGCTGCTGTTACTACAGATAGTGATGTCTTACCCGTGGTGAACTTAAGAGCACATGCTTAAAATCCTTCACAAATTGTTAGTAAATTCCATTTTATGCTGAACAGCTAGAGTATGAATATTCAAACTGAGCCCAACTGACATCTTTTGACATTCTTGGTTATCTCTGGTTGGGGCTGTCACTTACCAACCTACCCTTGCAGCACCTTGACACAGCTGAGAGTGCAGTGTAAGGCACCTTGGGGAAAATGTACTTACTAATTACTTATCTAAAATATAAAAGCTCTTGAAAGACAACTCTTGAATGGTGTTTAGGTTAATTTATAAATAGAAGTATGCTCTATAGCTGAAGTAGTTTTGCTTAAATTTAGTTAAATTTTTACTTGGAAGCTAATTAAAGGAAATCAGAGAGAAGCTGAGCCATTAATTCAGCCAGTATAATTAGTCATTAAAAATGAACTAAAGAAAGCACCCTGTCATGTCAGCAGTAAGAGTATCAAAACAAGTGCACCATAAAAATTGGGGGCTGGAGACCCCCTGTCTAAGAAGACCCTGAATAACAGCCACTACAACTAAACAAACAGCATCACAAAGCTTAACTACTTTCAACACTAAGAACTGGTTTCTTGGGGGTTAGCACCAATTTCATGTTTTATTTATACAGCCATGACACCACAGAAAAGACCACCACTAAATAAAGACCTTGTACTGGCTTTTGAATGTGTATGTTAAAGGGATCGAAGTTTCACTTCTGCTTTAACATCAGCTGAGTGGTATTCAATAATGTAAACAAAATTAAATAGTCAAAAAGAGTAGTTTCTATTTACTTGCAAAGTAGGTTTCTCAGGAGAACTTAAAAGCAGTGTTTTTCAATTGTTTTTTATTCTGGACAAAGATAAATCCAGTAGTTGAAGTTCACACATAGAAGACTGCAAGTGAAATACAATTATCACAAATACCTAATATCAGACTGGACACTGCTAGCAAGCTCCATAACACCAGGGTCCCAAAAAGAAACTAAAGCTCAGCCTCCTTCACTGCAGTAGTATGAAAGCAAATCATTTTTGATCAGGTTGCCCTCTGAAATTGAAGAATGTAACAGGAAAATTTTTGTTGCCTAAACTTAAGTGTCATGACATTTTAGGGACCTGTATTAGAGTGGTTTATAATTTCATTCAAGCTACAGAATGTCCTGCAGGTCATCAACACAGAAGCTGTTGAGAAATCAGCTTATACAGATTTGTTGATTTGTTCTCCTTTTCTTCAGGAAAGCTTTTAAAAGCATGTTCTTCCATTTGATGTTACATTAAAAAATGTATCAATGTGAACTCCAGTACACTGATAAAAGTTAGAATTTATGAATTAAACAAACTGTCTTTAACATGTATTTCATCCTGACACAAGAGTCATACCTTTTGCCTGACCTCTAAAAAAAAAAATCTGAAACTAAATTTAATACCCAAGATTACACATCAGGAAAAAAAACAGGCATCTTATAAAATTACTTCAATGTTTGTTTATTTTCTACATAGAAGATACCAACACATGCCTTTTAAATACTTAATGTAATACAGCCTTTTTATGAAACTGTGTCTCTTTTTAAAAGATGCTTTTATTGTAATGTTAATACATGAACATAACAAAGGAAAATTAAATAGAGTATTGTGTTAGACCAGAAAAAAATACAATACATACCCTGTAGCTCCCAAACCTTCAGCGGTTCCATGTTGTTAGTAGTTTCAATTAGATGTTTTTTAAACTTTTTCAGGTTATTTTTCAGATCAGGATATATCTGCCTACAATAAAACATTTTCCTTTTAACAAAGGCAGAATCAATTACATCCATCAATGTTTGCTTTCACCCACAATATTGCTCACAGCTAATACTGTATCTTTAGGGTAACAATCAAGAATGAAAACTTGAATTCATTCTTAAAAAAAAAAAAAAAAGATTTGTGGTAAGAAAAGGTGATTACTGAGGACTAAAAATCAGTTAATTAGAGTCTTAAGAGTAGAATCATTTAGGTTGGAACAGACCTCTAAGATCATCAGAGCATCAAGTCAGACCATTAACCCAGCCCTGCCAAGTCCACTATTAAACCATGTTCCTCAGTGCCACATCTACCCAGGGATGGAGACTCAACCACTTCTCCAGGCAGCTTTTCCCAATGCCTAACAACCCTCTCCATGAGGAAATTCTTACTAAATACAAGGAGTTCAATTGTTTTGTAGTGATCTGCCTCAAAACCTGCCACATAAATTCTGAAGGAATAAATGAACTCAAAGATTAAACAGTATCAACACACAATACAGGTAACTGTGTAGTTTGTTTATTATAGCATAATGTATACCTAACTGTATATTAACTGTACTATACATTGACTGTAACTGTATGCAGAGTTTGTGGCATTACTTAGAAAAGATAAAGGCAAGACAATGTTGAGAACATCTGTTATAAATTAACATCGCTGACAAAATCAAGCTACTGAGCACACAAATCACTAGTCTGACCTGAAGAAGAGCATGGTACCCAAAAGCTTAGCTCTTTGTTTTGAAAAGATAATAGGGTAGTGTAAAGAAGTTCTGAGGGCAAACACTTCAGCCCGCTACAAGATATCCTTGAACAATCTCCATTAGATTTCTAAAGATTTTATGTCTTCTGCTTCCATTCATAACTATTTCACAGCTGAGAAAACTATAGTGTTTAGCATGGGTATACCTGAGGGACAATTTACAGACTGAAATATCTATTTCACCTCCCGTATGAAAGGGAGAAGAAAAAAAAAAAAGAGTCTAGAGACAATGTCAAAGAGTCTGAAGAATTATCTGACAGCTTCACAAACCAGTCACAGTGCAACATCAAGAAACTAAGTATAGCTAAACCTATCAGAATCCAAGAAGAAAAAAGCTCAGATAAAGATATGACAAGCATTTGGTATGACCTGCTGTGGAAGGTCTCTAATAACCAGGTGAAACAAGGGAGCCTGCAGATCTAGATGCACTTCTAACTCAATCTGTTTAAAAAAGGCAGGAAAGGGGATGGGCTCTCAAGAATTTAGACAGAATTAGATGCTCTGAACTCTGAGACTCACAGCTTAGTGACAATTATCTACAAACAAGTTTACTTTTTGCTTTCAGTGGTAAGAGACAGAATGACACTAGAGAAGACCCACAGTCTTGGTGTTTTTCCTGAATTAAAAACAATTCATGATTCTCTGCATGGATCTGTTACAGGAAAAGGGAAGCACTTTGGATGACTGAAACCATGAAATGTATCCGCAACTGAGGACTGGAAGGAGCCCTCAATAGGGTAACGTTCAATTTCATCTAACAGACTGAATTGAATTCTGTTCCTGCTGGAACAGAACACAAATTCACCAACTCCACAATAAGATAGCTATAATAAGCACATCTTCCACGAAATATCACTCCTATGAAATTAACTGCTATCCTTCTTAAAAAGACCTTATGTAGCTACAGCACATGGATTTGTGTTCATTGTGCAACTATTTGCATTTTAAAAACCAACATTTTGATTCTAAGTATCTTACCAACATGAAAACATGGTGTTCTGAGTTTTTGTGACTGCTATCCAGACAGATTTTTTTTTTATTTTAAAACGTTTACTGTATAGGTTCACAGAGAATTAGAAAACTACAAGGAATAAATTGGAATTCACAGAATAAACAACAGTTGCATCTTTACATTCAGAAGACATACCCCCCAAAAAAATCAGTATTTTCACCCAATAAAAAAATTTCCAACATAAATCTTACGTCTTCTACTAAAAAAGAAAAATATTAAAAAATTGGTTCGGGTTCCAGAAAAAAATGCAGACATTTAGTTAAAACTTGTATCAACTCACTTTAATTTGCCAAAGAGAAATCCTTGGACATCACTTTCCTCTTCCTCTTCCTCATCTTCCTCTTCTTTTGTCTCATTTGCTCCTGAACACATAGCACATGTAGACAACATAAGCCAAGAAAGTTACCGTTCTGTTATGTTCTTATGAATTATAAAGCAGTTAACAGAAACACACAATCAGAAAGTTGTCATTCCCAGACGTAATTTTAATTGGATTTATATTTGCACATTTTGGCATCAGAATTAATTACTTTACAAAACTTCACAACATCCAAATTAATTTTTAAATATGATTCATCCAATGGTAACATTTTTTATATAAATGAAATTGATATAGTTAAACAGTTCACTTCCCAAAACAGCCATTTCTCAGTTTTATTAAGTGATAAGATATAACTCTTATCAGCCAACTACTACCAAATTTACGCTTGAAAAGCCTGATGACTTTTAAGCGCATGAATCTCCAGCTGGAATTTGATGTAAGTCAGAGATCAGTTTCTTTACCTTTAAATGGTTAAACTATTTTTTGACATGACTCAAAGGTTTTTAAACCTTAGTCTTACCAAAGAGAGTTAACTTTCATTATATCTTGTAAACGTCCATGCAAAGCAATTTCTCTGTGTCAACATGCTATAGCTACCACTTCCTGTGGTAAATGCCTCATTTCAACATGTAATATACACTGCTCCCAATGCTACGACACATCACATCTTTCCTACAGGAGATTGTGAAAATATTTCCACATAAATTCAGAAAAAAAACCCCTCACCCCTGAAACACTAATGGGTAGATACTGTAGTCACCAGCATATGAGAGATGCCAACAAATATGAAGTAATTGAAGGAGAAAGATTAAGCAATTTTAAACTTACTGAAAGAAGACTGGGTTATGTTTTGAAGATCCAGAGAAAACAACAATTAGAGTTTAGATAATAAACTGTATCCTAAGCACAGATCTTTACAAATGTTCGCATGTATTTTGATGTCTTAGTTCCTAATACCTGAGATTTCCTTCTGTAGAAAGAAATTAAGCATAGCCTTCAAAACATTAATGACTGAAGATTGTACAAACCGAAGATTCTAACACATTTCAATCGTATCTCCAATGAGATATCAATAAATTAAAAAAGCACATACCTTTAACCTGCGTGTCATCTACTGCTTTATATTCTGTACTCTTTATTGCAAGTTCCACACTATATCCAGATAAATACATTTTCCTGGAACCTGGTTTCTGCTTGACGATATTATTTTAACAGAAGAAAAAATATAAGTTAAAAAGGTATTCATAGGAGATTAACAATATATAATACTGTAACTTTAAAATTTTATGATAGACATTACTTAAATTCATCTTTCAATTCAAAGTACAAGGCATATTGAGAGTCCACTGAGAAGGCCTGTAACAGAATGTGACAATCTCCTTTACCTCCTGCAGATCACAGAAAGGCTGTGATTTGTAGTCCCTTCACATAATACTCAAGAAGGACTAGAACAGGAAGAGCTCATAGCACTGTATACAACTATTGATACTTCACAGTTCACATTTTAAACTGCTATGAATTTCTTTCTAATGTTGCCAGACCTTCAGCATGTTAGGAAGCAATTCTCTAATTTTGCATCACACTGATTCTTTTAAAAAGTTTTGAGAAAACAGTTAATCAATTTCTGCAAGGCAGATTAAGACAACGTATTAAGAGTATCACTGCTAAAATCAAGTTGCCACTTTGTTAGAAACAAATAAGTACTTCTAACTTGGGAGTGGAAGTTTTAAATTCAATACTGTAATTACACAGAGAATATCTATATCTGAAAATGTGCCCTAATTTGCCCCAAATGGAAATGCCCTTTCCAAAATGCAATTTGCACACGCAGAGTAGCAATTTCTTAAAAGCCTTTCAGCTTTAGCTTGCAATTTCTAAGAATCATTCTGTACTGCGAATCCTCCAACCCACAAGTGAAAACCCAGCAGGGCTGGGGGTTTTCTCTGTCCATCCTCTAAGCAAATCTCAGTGCAGAGAGAGCACTGCACTCTGTAAGTAGTCTAGGTGATATTGGCAAAAAAAAAAGACAGCAGAGAGACCGTACCTCTTCTGTACTCAATGCTCCCTCTTCTGGCATTTAATGTAAAAAAGGAGGGAGGATCCGTCTCAGTGGGAACCAAAGAATAAAAATGGAGGTTGTGAGGAAGAAAGAAAAGGGGACAGAGATCTGAAGAGAGAAAAAGTGCAGGCAGGAAGACAACACACGTTTGGGGGGACCATAGTGCATAAGCCAGGCAGAGCAATGAGACATTTAATATGCAAGTAGGCATTTAATTGAAATAAAAGAGCATAAAAGAACATAAAGTTCGGTAAACCCACACAACTTACAATTCAAGACTGGCATCCTCAAATTCTCTATTTCATTACTATGAGCAAACAATTCAAAGTCATCCGCAAACTACGTAGCTCATCTCCCTGAAATGTGTGGTCTACATGAATCACAGCAAGCTCGCACTTCATCAGGTTATTCTCATATTTGTCACACTATTTAAGAGCTGTTCTTTGAACATAAATTACAAAAGCCTTCCAAAACCAAAACTGGGGACAATACAGTTCCATGTACTGGTATTTTATTTGCTTTGTTTCAGGGAGAAGAGTAAGTTAAGGAAAGAATTCAGAAATGTTATGTTTCAAATACTGACACTGTGGAATGCAAACATCAAAAAACTAGTCAATGACACTGACCGTGATAGCCCACACTGCTGTACTACAATGAACATACGAGATCATATTGAGCATTTATAAAAACATAAGTATAATTAATAATGTTTCAACTTCATTTTCTATTCTGCTTTCCATTTTTCTAGTTCTTGTTGTTATAATGTTCAGTCGGCTATACCAAAATTCACCCAAGATCTTTCTATGGTGTACTAAATCCAGACATAAAACCAAAAAAGAGGTATTTCAAGATCAATCAGTGATGCAAATAGTGCTTGCATGCAAGATTAGATAATATTATCATGCTTTCCCAGCTTCAAAATTTGTATTAAGTGAATCACTTCACCCAGAAAGTTTTAAAATTAGAGCATATATTGCACATCATGTAGGCAAATGCAAAAATAGATGCAGAAAATGTGTTTTGTCAAAAAGCAAGCAAAACAAAGACAGAATACTAACAGTTTACTGAAACATTGCTGATTTGAATTACATACCTGAACATAATGCCGGAGAACATAAACAATTTCCTCCTTTTGTGCCTTCTCAGACAAAATCTTGTGGAATTTGGCAAAGTCTTTTGTACCCATTTCTGCATACAGAACAACCACTGGGCCATCCTCTTTGACAGCTGGAAATTTATGGTCTCCTTTAAAAAGATATGGCCTGGGTCTGGTTTTAAAACAAATACTTGTGATATTACATAGTCAGAAAATAAATTAAAACAGTGGCAATTTTTCTACTTCATAATTGAAAAAAACAGTGAAGGCTTATATGCTAAAAGTATACAAGCCATGTTAAAATCATCACAAAATAATCATGATTGCTCACAGATGAACCTAGAACACCAAATTCACAAATTAAAATTATTTATAGTTGATGCTGACTTTTCAGTTTATTATACTTTAATATATTTTATCAAATTACCACACAAAGCAAATGAAAAGCATAGCACTTGGAGATTTTGTACAATAATCAGTAACAGCTTGAAGTTTTTAATTTGAATGATTCATTACATCTATTAGAAATGTACAGAGCAATCAGCGAGTAACAGAGTAGCACAGGGATATTCTGTGACATTTGAGAAAGCTGCTAACACACACGGAAACTAACTGGGGTTATACTACTTTAACACCATCAAGCTCTCTTAATTTAGCTAATTTTGCAAATTTTGACTGCCTGCCTACCCTCCTCACTGAAAACCATGACTAGAAAAGTTATACTGCAATGATTTCTTAGATGACTAAAAACATCTCTTGAATAAAACCTGGGAAAGATGGAGAAGTAACAGAGGATATCACTGAGCAATATACTCAAGGTGGTAATTATGGATGAGCACATTTCTTTTCAAAGCCTTTGCACAGCCACATTTGAAAATTATGAAACTTTAATCCAAAACACAATAAATGTGTGTAGTAGACACTCACTGAAAAGTCATACTAGAAAGGTGTGAGCAGAACTCCATACACACCAGTTTCTGTGATGCAAAGCTTAGGAATATCTTCAGTGTAAGAATCACAGAATAACATGCACTACAAAGGACCTTTGGAGGTAATCTGCTGCAAACTCTCACTCAAAGCAGGGACAATTTGTATCAGGTTACTCAGGGCCTTAACATCAACGTCCTATGCAAGTTCTGCAGGTATGCAACTACAGACTTCATTTGTAAGGCAGAAATAAAAGGAGGGGCCAAGTTCGAGAATTAACTTCGGCGTGTGTGGCCACGTGTCACAGAAATATCAGGCAAGCTTTGCCACTGCTATCACTGGATGAGGCTGACCAAGCAGGTGTCACCTGGGAGTCTAAAACAACTCCTGAATGAGTAAGCTCCGTTCAAGAACTGACCCAGATCTGCCCCAGTGAAAGCATTACATACAGGATGTGGCTTGTGCAACTTCCTTCTCATATCCAGAGAGACAAGAACTGTCACAGTCATTTTTAAGAGTGGAAAACCTAAAAGTTTCACTTTTCTTAACTAGCCTTAACCACCTTAACTAAGGTGGTTACCAAGTGCTGCCATGACCTTCTTGAACACTGACAGACTCAAAGAAAGTGTTTCACATGCTAATAAACATGCTTCACTAAAAAATTAAGTGCTGCAGTGAAATAACACTACATAGAGCTACCCTAATGACCTTGGATAGGAGAATTAAAGTGTTCAATCCTTGTAAATCCAAGATAAGCCTCTGTTCTCTGTTTCTCTTCAACACTGAATAGTAGTGCGAAGGAATTGATTCTCTTGCTCTTAGAGCTGAAAGCTAATTAATTTCCTGCCATAAGAGATTCTCATAAGAAGGTTGCCTGAAAAGCAAGGAAGAACAGCTGGGCTGACAAAAAATAGATAAAAAAAATTACATGGATGTGGAGTTCAGCACTTGCTAATCAGTCACTAGGATAGTACAGGCAACTATATGCTTTCCTAGACAGTTGCCAGGACAGGATGCAGAAGGAACATGATAGCAGACAGCAAACGCATGTACTGACAAACCTAAGGCACTGACTGTTTTGAACAAAATGTGACTCCAATTAATGCTTCTTCTCTTAGCAGCAACATCCCCACGGTCTTAGTATTGTGTTTTAGACAGTTTGCAAGATAAGAAATCCCATTTAACCACATGTCCTTCGACAGAGCCCTTGAGCAGCCCACTGCACTTTCACACAAAATACTCCCTATTAGAGCCAAGCAGTCCACTGCAACACAGCTGAAAGTGTAACAGGCAAAATCACAGTAGCTGCTACATAAAGGACTGTGTGAAGCAAAACCCTGATTTTGACAGGCAGAATATTTGGGCTCTCCTGGATCCAAAGGGCCCGAGACTTCCTGAATCTTGAGTTGAGCTGATGGATCCACATAAAACTATGCTGCAGTCTCTTCTTTCTCTTCCAGAGAGATTTGAAGCTATCAATCCAATATATAACTGGATATTGCTATATCAATATCAAATTAGAATATTTCTAGTGTCCTCATCCAAATGTGAACTTTAGGACACAACTGAAAGCATAGCTTAAACTGGCCTGGCTTAAGTAGAAGAGTCATGACAGACAGCAAATGAAACACAACAGAAAATAGTTTGAAATACAAAGAAATCAATAAATCATAATGATCTCTCTTCATACAGGATAGATAAAAAGAATGACTGGTTTAGAGGAACCAACAGCAAGATGGCACACTGTCTTATATATCATTTGTTCGCCATATAGAAAAGAAAGAACAGGAGCACAGCCTTATCTCTATCACCTAGGCTAAATATGTCCTGCAGAAGTGAAAAGTATCTGCTAAGCAGAGTACAAATGAAAATAATAGTGGAAACGATTACCTGAATATGTGAAGGTGAATGTGTTTTTCTCAAAGTCTAGCTCCAGGAACTCTAAATATTCGAGTGACACAACTACTTTTGGGGTGGAGAGGAGATGAAATTTATCAAGATTTTGTCCCTGCAACTCTAAAGGTTGTAATGTGACTGGTGCATGCAAAACTACCAAAAATACAAGACCAACCAATCAGAAAAAACTTCAATTTTGTTGCACATTCCTAAAGTTAATGATTTCCAGAAGTCTAACTCTCTCACTTCTGAATAAGTCAGGATTCTATTGTTTAGTACTGTGATTTTCCAGAATTTGGGAATAGTATCTCCAGAATGGAGAATGTGCTGAATCCAGTTAGCTGCTTTAAAAGATAATTATATTCAGACACTGTAATAAAATGTTAAGGTCTTACAATGCTTTAATGTACGATCACATTTGTACTATATTTTGGCTTTTATCTAAGAAAGTAAGAGACATTTGTTAGTAGACCATAATAGTTAAAAATGGGACATAGTAAAATAGACAATTGACTGTTTTTTCAAAAACCCCGACTATTGAATAAGTAAAAGACAATGATTTAGTAGGTTGTAACTGAATCAATAGACTTAGAATATACCATAAATCACATATGGGGAAGACAAAATTGTTCTCAGAAGCAACTAACCACAAAGAGACAAGTTTACAGGTTTTCAGTTTTTTTCCCCACAACTTATATTTGACAGAAAGCAAAATCCAAGAAATATACCCTACTAAATCATCTTTCAGCTCTGCCTATCTTCATGAAGTGGCTGAGGGTATGGGCACTAATGTATATTATGGTGACCTTGGCCACTGCAGGAAAAAAACCTCAAAGAAAAAAATGTTATACACAGGTCTTGAAAAAACACAAATTAATTCTTTTTTTTTTTTTTTTAAACAGAGATTAAATATTATGCTTTCATTATTTTGTTACTGTTATTTTGATAGCTTCTGCATATTTTAGTTCACAGGCCAAATTAATTCTGGGCTGATGCCCAGACTCCAGAAAGGCTTGATAAGTGCAAAGTCTAGCACAAGGTGAGGAAAGGTTATGCCAGCTGAGGCAGACTTCTCTTCTACTCCTGTGCCAAGCCCTTGCAATCTAGAAAACCTCAAGTGCAGTGGCGCTGACGATGTAGAAAGGTCTGTCAGGAGAGTACTGTCTCAGACACATGAAACTGTAAGTTTGTACAGAAAGTACACAGTAACTTAAACTTGACTATTCTGTATAAAAAAAACCAAAAAACCCTGAAGAAATACAAAATTATCCATGTGATTAGATGAGCAAAGCTCTATGATTTTATTTTAAAACCCTACTTCAATTCATAATTGATGAATTCTCTTAACATGAAGCGTTTAAAGTATTTCAAAATCAAAAGTAAGTCTTTTAAAATAACATATACTTTAAAAGGGTATGACTTTAAAGATCTAGTAAACTGGGCTTTATGAGCTTGGCATAAAATTTCAAAGTACTATGACTTTACATGCAATAATACATTTTCCTCTTTAGTAACCTATTTTTCCTCTTAAATCATTACATTTACCTCTTAGTAGCCTTCTTCAGCAGCTTTTTTATTTCATTAGTCTTACAGGTGTGCTTCTCATGGATAACCACAAATGCACTGCAGCCTTCTGGTGGAGGTTCATCAGCTGCAATCTAATATTTCAACAATTACACTCAACCAGAACACTTTGATTGCACTTCAACTTAAACTCACATCCCTTTGATTAAAATAACTCAACAGCTGCCATTAAGTTGTGTTTCCAATTAAGCCCATTCAAAATTGGGTACACGTAAAAAAAAAAAAAAGAAAAATACTAGAAGATTAAGACCTTATAACCTTTGTGAGATGTAGTCTATCAAATAGAGTCATACTCCAGAAAATACAAGTCCATTTAAGTTCTGTAAAGACAGGGCTGAGGAATCTCCTCCACTGGCTGAAATCACAGCCTGTACTCTGAGACATTTTTAATTTTAGTTGCTATCCGCAATCATGTTAATGTACAAAGATTAAATTTCTAAACCAATAAATCCCAAACAATTGATGTCAATTTTTGGTTTTCTCTCCTTCTCACCCCCTGTTTTTTTTTTTTAACTCTATTCAGCTATGTAAAGTGGGAATCATATGACTGCATGCCAATGAATCCAGATTCACATGCTGCAAAATAAAAGTCAAAAGACATGAGTCTGAGGTTATGATATTCCTCTAAAGAACACTTGCAAAGCCCCCTAACTTTATTATAGCTTATTACCTTTCAGAAAAATGGATTTTTTACTTTATCATGAAGATGGTATTGCTGAAAGGAGGAGGAGCAGTTTTAGGCTTAGAAGCAGAGTGAATTTATGTCCTCCCATCATGGCTGGGCTTCGCGAACGAAGATTTGGGAAGGCTCTATCCACATTTGTTGCAGGCACGCTGGTGGCTTATGAGGCCAATACGTGACAGACATGTCCGATTGCAAAAGGCACAGCAGAAAGACTCCTTAGATGGTGTATTCTGCAGAACACGGTTCTTTCTGCGTTGCCTTTTTTCCTCGAGGGTGATCCTGCGTGTGTTCTCAATGTCCTCCCACTCTTTTGTTAATAAACCAGGTACTTATTTAACTTATTTTTCAACTTTTCAAATACAAAAATCACAAGAGATGAGAAATCCACTACATAATAAATATAAATTACTTGAAGCTACAGGAAATGTCCTAATTTGGGTATGTCTGAATTCCTGTAGGATTATTTAAACCAATGCAAAAAATCCCCACAACTTGAGTTTTATAAAGTGATCAACTGCAAAAAATTGTACCCTGCAAGTAATGCTATCAATACAATTTAACATCAGTATTTATTCCTGTCAGTATAACCAGCTTATAAAACACCACCTCTGTGAACGGACCATGTTTGATTCCAAATAATATTGGCATATATTTTATTGAACTGTAACAATGAACATTCTCTACTCTGTAACCAAAATACCACATTTAATCATGTATCAAATACATCAGATAATACAGTCACCTGCTGAAACATCTGAACAGTTGGAGAATAAGCCCGTATGGAAAGTGCAAACTTCAACAGATTGATTTGCAAATTGGATAAAAATTGTCCTGCTTTTTTCAAGATTAAATTGTAATAGGAATACTCTGAATCTGTTGAAGAAAAAAAAAAGAAGACAAACTTTTAGTATTTAGCCACAAATGACGTGGTATATCTACCCACGCTACATAACAGGCAAACATTAATGCTAGCGCTGCTTGGCAGTTCAAAAATCTTGAATGTTGTCCACTGATAATTGCTTACTTTACTACCAATCTAAAGGTCTCATACAGCACAAATAGAAGAAAAGAGAGCTCAGCAGCACTAGTTAATATCTCAAATATTTTCAGCAATATATAAATCCACTCAATACAATAATGTCTCTTCTAAGATACATACGGAAAGCCCTGAATAGAATTTATTCCCTCATTTCTGTTTGTCAAGATTATGCCACCCTTTTAACAAAAATATTCAAGGTTGGTTACTTACTTTCAACCAGCATTATTTTACAAATAATTTCCTTGCATTTAGCCTTGAAACACTCCAACAATGCAGCTTACATAAATAAAATTCTTTGGGCTACTCTCACATAATCTGTTTCTCCCCTAAAAACACGTGATAAAGAAGAGTGTGAGAATGGATGTAACAGGTGAAGTACTTCCCTTCTCCCTGCATACCTTGTGTTTTCAAGGACAAGATCAGGTATCTAAGTAAGAAGGTAGGTGGATGGTGTCCAGGAATGACAGAAGTGATAATACAGAACATTGGTTGGAAAAAATTAGCCGTCATTTCTCATTCTAGAGGCATATTCAATTTTCATAACTAAGTACCTCCTATCCTCTCATTTTCCTTTTACAACCCTGTTGTGGTTGTCAAAAAATATTCTTTTGCTCTAAAGCCTCTAGTATCTCCTTTCTGCCTCCTTCTTCTTAAAACTCATTATTTAGAAAGGCTGAGTTTGCTGTAATTCACTAGGAAAAACCTAAGATTATAAAAGTATATAATCTGCATTTCAGGAAAGCTCCTTCCCATAAATTTTATAAGCCTGGTTCCAGCTGGGATAGAGTTAATTTTCTTCCTAGTAGCTGGTACAGGGCTGTGTTTTGGATTCAATATGAGAATAACATCGATAACACACTAGTGTTTTAGTTGTGGCCAAGTAGTGCTTACCCTACTCAAGGACTTTTCAGTTTCCCATGCTCTGCCAGCGAGGAGGTGCACAAGAAGCCAGAAGTGGGCATGGCCAGGAGAGGCTGACCCTAGCTGCCCAAAGGGCTATTCCATACCATAAAATGTCATGCTCCATTTATAAACTGAGGGGAGTTGGCCAGGAGCAGTGATCCTTGCTCAGGGATGGGCTGGACATAGGTTAGCGGGTGGTGAGCAACTATATTGTGCATCACTTGTCACAAGTTTTGTTCCTCTTTCCTCTTTTTCCTATTATTATATTTTACTTTATTTCTATTATTAAACTGTTCTTATCTCAACCCACAGGTTTCACCTTTCCCAACTCTCTTCCTTGTCCCACTGAAGGGACACAGAGAGCAGGCATGTGGTACTTCATTGCTGCCTGGAGTTAAACCATGACATATGATTATTACTGTCTTACATTAAATTCAAAGGATGAAAAACCCATCTCTTCTATGTTTTCTATACCTACACGTAGCCCTGGCAGAATTCAAATAGCAACAAAGCTGGTGAAGGCTCTAGAGTGCACGTCCTGCGAGGACCAGATGGTGGAGTTCGGCTGTTTAGCCTGGAGAAAAGGAGATTCAGGGATGACCTCATCACTCTCTACAGCTACATCAAAGGAGGATGTAGCCAGGTAGGGATTGGCCTCTTCTCCCAGGCAACCAGCAACAAGACAAAAGGAAATGGCCTCAAGCTATGCCAGGGGAGGTTCATGCTGGACATCAGGAAGAATTTCTTCACTGGGTGGTTAAGCACTGGAATGAGCTGCCCGGGGAGGTGGTAGAGTCACCATCCCTGAAGGTGTTCAAGAAATAACTGGACGTGGCACTTGGTGTTATGGTTGAGTTGGCAGAGTGGTGATTGGTCAAAGGTTGGACTCGATCTTGGAGGCCTTTTCCAACCTTAATGATTCTTTGATTCTAAATGAGATAACTTTGGCTTCACACATTCAAAACAATGAGTGTAAAAATTTGCAAGGGGCAAACCCTTCCAGATTGAAACGTTTTTTCAATAACTATATTTTCAAATTTTCTTCAAATTATCTCCACAAAAATAAAAATGAAATCCAAAATTTTTGCCTCTCCACTCAGCCCCAAATAACATCCTATTGAAGACAATGAAGAGCTATTAAATAGACAATTCTAACGATACCTCCTCAATAAAGTATTTTTACCTAGTCTTTAAATTCTTTGGCTTACAAATTCCAGCTGTGCTTTCACTGCTGTATTTAAAACAGTTTTTTTTTTCCTGGAAGATAATTATCATAATGATTTTAATAAGTAAAAAAAAAAAAGATAGTTATGTGCCTTCAAAAATGATTGTATAAAATTGACAAGGATACATTTACCAGATCATGCATCCACTCCTACTACTTCAACTTCTATTAATGCTGCTGGCTTCATTCAGAATACAACTGTACTTTAAACTTCAGCAGGACAAATTAAAGCACATGAAATGCTACATGATCCACATAATGCAAAAACAATTTTTTAAGTTTATTACATACACAGAATCACACAGAATATTCTGAGTTGGAAGGGACTCACAAGGATCATCGAGTCCACCTCTTAAGTGAATGGCCCATACAGGGATTGAACCCTGATCTTGGTGTTATTAGTACCATGCTCTAACCAACTGAGCCAATCTCAGTTAATGAGAACTATGGTTTCAGTTTTGCAAATTATTTTCACGGAGTATTGGATCCTTGAAACTTGATCATTACTTGCCCTCCAAGCTGCTTTTAACACTGTACTCTATGCCAAAGAGTAGAAGACAGAATAAATCTCTTAGAATGTTACAGGGAATCACAAAGTACCAGGTTTTTTTGGTTATAAAATCCTGCATGATAGCATATTACCAATAAATCATTAACGAAGTGGATTTAAAAATAAATGAGAACACATTAACAGGATACACCTCCAGATTTCAGACATCCGAATGCACATGTATGAGCTACGTATCTATAAAATTTCATTCCAGCCACGAGAGATAAAGCCAACAAAACCTCAAAAGCTATTTAGCTCACTCTAAAGATGCCTTAATTTGTCATCTGAATAGCTCTCTCAACTCTTGCAGCCAAATTGATTGACTACAGCAAGAACTGAACAGCTAGCTAAGCAGACTCACATTTAAATGTTGATTACTATCCACAATCTACAGCAGTATTTCATCACAGGTAAGTTAATAATAATTTAAAACAGACAACCAGGGCAGTACCAAAAGGAAAGGAAAAGTTTACACCACAGCTCCTCAGACCTCATGCACACACAGCACAAAATTAAGCAGAATATGCTGGTGACCCATATGAGAATTCAAACTACTGAGGCACAGGAGGTAGACAGAGTAAACCTAAGGGATGTAATCAATCAGAAAAACCACAGCATGCTGGGATCATTATTTTGATGGATAGAATATGGTGGTTGCTCCAACTGCATAGATGTGTATATCTGTATCCATAGATCAGCTAGGGAATTAGAGATGCCAGGTAATGGCAGTTCAGGCAATCACTGGCCAGTCAAATCTCTATGACATTTAAAATGCCTGTAGAGAGGGAATACTTCGTTTTATTGCATGATTAGTATAGAAGTGCTATGCTTGTGAAAATGATTCCTCTAGAATCTTTAAGGTTGATATGCACATAAAAATATTTATCTAATTTAGTGATATGTGAATAACGTGTAGTCTTTTAGATTACAACAAATAATTTGCAGGACTGTTGCTTATATGTAATATACTGCTATATTTTTTTCAGAGAAAGTTTCCCTAGAGAAAATATGTTTGTTTGTTGCTTTTGTTTTGGTCTGTAATATATATTTATGCTGAAAATTCAATATATAAAGCACTTGGGAAATCAGTAAACACTCAAGTGATAATTAGTCGGCAGGGAACTGGCTACTTACCTTCACTCTGTATTCATAAATTAACCTTTAGAGATATAAAAGCAGCAGCAAGTTTAAAATTACACATTTAGTGTTTAGTAACTGCTGGTTTTAATATGAAATTTTTGCAGCTTTGATTTCTTTATAACACACCTGCAGCCCAATATACCACCATCTGCATTTCTAAGTATTTCACAAGCCTGGCAGAAACTATGTTGCATATTAAGAGGACATAAACAAGCTGTCCATGCTACCTGAAGACCTCACTCTAATTTAATACAGTGTATCCCATCGCTAACTTTCGTTAGTGATGTTTTCCATAGGGTATAATCAAAATGATGCCCGAGTTGATCCGAGTTCATATTAAAAAAAAAAATGTTAAAACCATCAAATGCATCACCAGACTAAATGCTTTACCAAATTCCATGTATGTAATTCCTACCAAATCCTTTACATTGCTACATATATCATAGCTAAAGAGACTATTAATAGACATAATTTGCTGAGGCTGAATATTTTAAATGAACAAATTAACAACAGATGTTCATTTGATTATTCTAAATTTAAAACTACAAGTTCTGAGAACTGATAAAAAGACCAGATTGAAAATCATCCAAGGAATTATTTAAAAGAAAAAAGCCACCATATTCAGTTTTTTAAGTTGCCTTTTAGCTTTAATACTTCATGACTCTTCTAAAGTATGCTGGGATATAAATCTATCATCCAATTCTTCTATAAACCCAGATTTTAAGCTTCAAATATAGTAATTCTTCACCTTTTATGAAAATGTTTCTACTTTAAAAACCAACGTTTTTATTTCCTGCTTATTCATCCTATCTGGTCTTGGTATCACCCAGAGAAGAACTGAAAAGGCCATCAGGCCAACCAACCCTTTTTAAGCCAGATCCTTTTATCTGCTCAGGTAGTTGTTGTTACATCAGCTATAATGCATCATGAACATCCCCCTACGTCAATGTGTCCTGACATGCAACAGCTAAGACAGAACCCATTCCATAGCATATAGACAACACCTCCTCAGAGGTGAACTACTACACATCTCTCAGTAACTGTGCCACTCCAGTATTGCAGTACCAGATTCTTCATTCAAGCTGATCATTTTATTGTAAACCTACTGTAGAATTCCCTACTAAAAATGACTTAACTATTGCTGCATATATACGAAGCTCATATTATTTCCACCTTATACTTTGCATGTTGACTTTCAGTAAGACAATCTTAAGTTGGAAGAATCAATATTGATGTGATTCAGTCATTAAGTAACCACTTTGCTTTCCTCTAAAACTGAATCTTTCCTTCACATCCTGTTCATGAAGAGCATTGGTTTGCTTATATAAGACTACCCCAACTACAAACCAACTTTTAAGAAAGCCACTGGGTGCCAGAACTTCAAATTTTTCTGCATTATCAACACAGATGTGTGTTGGCCATAGTGATAAATATACACATCAATTCCTCAACATGTTTAATTAAAGTAATATTTTAGTACATCTCAAGGTTCCCCACCACCAGCATCTAACACTTCACTGGCATGACTGGTCATGGAGATCATCCTATTGGTAATTTAGTTATTCTTAATCACAGTTTATCCAGGTGAAGTAGGTATTTAATTAACAGCTGATTTCAACAGACACCTGTGTCACAAACAATAAACATCACTAAAATTTCAAATTCCTTGGGAAGTGTGTCCAAGCAAGCAGAAAAGAGATGGCTGATAAAAAAACTCTGACAGATCATCTAATACAGCAGTCTTGTCTCAAAGCAATAATAACTGCATCTAAACCACTCATAGAAAAAAAAGAATAATTCAAGTCAAAAGTGATTTCTGGAGGTCACCTCATCCAAACTGTTACTTAGAGATCTAATTCAAGGCTTGATTAGGCTGCTCAAGGCCTCATGCAGCAGAGTTTTGAGTACCTCCAAGAATGTAGATTCTGCAGCCTCCTGGGGCAGGCTGTTCCAGTGCCTACCCGACACTATGGCAGAAATATTTTCTGCCAAATTTCATGTTGCAACTTGTGCCCTTTGCTTTTTCTTCATACTGCTGTGTACCTTCAGGAAGGGTTTAGTTCCATCTTCTCTACACAATTCTATTAGAAAGCTGGAGATATGAGGTCTCTCCTTACTGTTCTCTTTCTCAGGTTCAATAAAACCCAGTTCTCTCAGCCTTTTCTCAGGAGTCTGCTCCAGCTCCCTAACCCTTGTGGGGATCCACTCCTATACTTCCTCCAATACTGAACTCTTGACTTTTAAAGGGGAGCCCCAACCTGGGCCCAGTATTCCAGACACAGTTTGTAATTTCCAAGTGCCCCATACAGGGGTCATTTTCCTTGACCTGCGGGCTACACTCTTGCTGGGGCAGCCTGGCATGTAGTTAGTCTTCTCAGGCATAAGAATATAATGCAACTGTTTACAAGGATCTCCAGGTCTGTTTCTCAAAGAAACTGCTTTTTGAGAGTAAGTGCCAAGATTACACTGTTGCTGAGTCTGTAAAGTGCCTTTGCTGAATTTCCCGATGTTTCTGTTCTCCTCTCTCTCCAGCCTGTAAAGGCCCCCCTAATGACACAGCCTTTTCTGTCAGCTTCTCAACTTCTGCCAGTGCTGAGCACTCAAAGACCATTTTCACATTGATACCACAAATTTTTAACTTTTATTCAGTCGGTCACAATTGTCGAAACACATTGTTTCTCAAGTTCTCTCTCCCCTATACAGCATTTTTCACGTACCTTCATTTCTCACTGCCATTTTCTACATGATCTTTCTGCAATTTGTTAGCTTTTAACTACTGATTTAACATTCAATTTCCCTGAAGTCTCTTCCACAAGTGGTGTTAGGTCCTCACACTCATGCCTGAAGTGTTGTACTATTCTGAAGTAAAGAGCAAAATGAAGCAGCCTCATCTTGTTTTGACACTTTTTTTCACCTTGTTCATCTGTTGACCTACCAAGTGGGTCTAATACTGACCGACCTGGTGTAAAGCCGTCGGTAGGTTTCTCGATTTTTCATTACCATGGACATTTCTAGTAAACTGCTCTCCAAGGTATCTTCTCAGGTGGCTTTTTATGCTTCTTTTATGCTTTGTTCTTCTCTCCAAATTTCTAACAATATTCATTTGTCTAATCATGCAAGGTATTTTTAATCCTATTTTGTCAGTGATAAAACTTTATTCTAAAACACCTGTATTGATGCTAGAAAACTGTATTGATGCTAGAAAACAGTCTCTATACCATCTACAAGTATTACGCCTTTTCTGGTAACTCTTTTAATTTTTTCCTTTAGTTATTTGTAGGATTCTCTCCCCTACAAGCATCCACCTTAGAGAAAACAGGAAGTCTCAATATCCTATAAGCTCTTGCTGAGTCACATACTCAGATAGGTATCTTTAATCTTTACACTTCTGTTCCATATTGTAAGTTTAGTTCATCTTGTGTTTGTTTTTTTTTTTTTTTAACTCCTCTACAAGTATTGTTCTCAAGGATATGCTACAACTCTCTGAAAGAAAACTATCTAATAAGCAATAATGGAAGAGTTAGGCTTGACCTGCCTGGAACCAGTTAATGTGTTCTGTCTCAAAGCTAAATACAGTGCAAGATAATGTATTAAAAACTAGCATGTTGTTTAACTTACCTCCTTGCTTATAAACTGTTAATTCCCGTACAGTTTCCAAGAACTGCCAAAACTTCTCATTACCATCTTCTGCAATGAATTCACTGTTAAAAAATAAAAATGAATTGTCTACAGGTTGACTTTGTCCAAAGATGTAACACAGTAAAAACCTTCAGTTGTTTAAAATAATAAATATCCAGCAGCAACCAAGTGTTACATATTCAATAACCTTCTAACATCTCTGTAGCATAAAACACTGAACAGAGGTGTACTTTGGTTAAAAGAGATTTTGAACAAAGTACTACCATCCAAAGTCAACAATGAGAGCTGTAAAACAGGCAGACTATTCTCTTGATACAGAAAACCCCCAAATTTTTCACTTTATTTTTCCACAGCTACTCCAATATACAGTTATAAATAAAATCACTTCACTAAGCAAGCTTTATTTAATAGTGGCTAAATACACAAATAAGAACATACACTCTGTCAGGTTATAGTTTTTCATTACATTACAGGCTTTCATCAATGGCAATGTCTACTTTGCTTTGCAGGGGGGAGATCCTCAATTTCTGAAATGGCTTAATTCTTACAGAGCATAAAAGATAAAGTTTGCTCTATTCCAAATACCATTCTTTCATTTTTTAATTTCAAACTGAAAGAGGTGAAATTTAGGTGAGATATACTGAAGAAATTCTTTATTCTTAGGGCAGTAAGGCACTGGAACAAGTTACCCAGAGAAGCTGAGGATGCCCCATTCCTGGAAGTATTTAAGGCCATCTTGGATGGGGTTTCGAGCAACCTGGTCTAGTGAAAGGTGTTCCTGCCCACGGCGGGGAGGCTGGAACTAGATCTTTATCTGAAGGTCCCTTCCAACCCAAACCATTCTGTGATTCTACAATTTACTGGTAACGCTTTTTAAGTTTTTTTCCTTAAGGTAACATCAGTTGCTTATTTTCCCTCTGCTTATGTCTGCCAAAAACTTCCACCTGGTAGCATGACTGAATTGTTTTCTAATCTTTACTTTGGAAGTTTGCCCCTCCTTTGATTACAGAAGCTTGCAGCTCTCCCTTTCATGGGAGTTCTCTGAACAGCAGCAAATAAGTTTAAAACCAAAACAAATTTAAAGCAAACAGGCAGGGAAGTCTCAAACACATAAAACTGTGTTCACTTCCTATTGTGAATCACAGAACGATTTGGGTTTGGAAGGGACCTTAAAGATCATCTAGTTCCAACCCCGCTGCCGTGGGCAAGAACACCTTCTGCTAGACCAGGCTGCTCAAAGCCCCATCCAGCCTGGCCTTGAACACTTCCGAGGATGGAGCATCCACAGCCTCTCTGGACAACCTGTTTCAATGCCTCACAGTAAAGAATTTCTTGCTTCTATATAATCTAAACACACCCTCTTTCAGTTTGAATTCATTATCCCTTGTTGTGTCAACTTCTAAAAAGTTCCTCTCCGTCTTTCCTGTAGGCCCCCTTCAGGTACTGGAAGGCCACAATTAGTTCACCCTGAACACTTCTCTTCTCCAGGCTGAAACTATTATTACAAGTTAACAATACCCTTTTTTAAAAAAAATGTTTTACTACTACAGCTCCACATGTTCACAATACCTTTAAAATTATTTAATGAAGGGTGAGATGGAAGAGATTCTGTTACTCAGTGGAAGACAGTGATTGTGTACATTGGCTCATTACATTTCCTCAACCTAAAGACCTGCAAAACGTCTGAGCAGGCTACAAACGAAGCCGCTTGCACAGCGCACTCGAAGCGCGGGACTCTGCCCGCACCATCCACACCGTTTTACGAGGGGAGAAAACAGTTCAGCCTTACACCCAAGGAGTACTGTAACACACCCTCCGACTGGGAGAAACGCGGCCATCCCCCTCTGACAGCCGGCCTTCCCGCTCAGCGGAGGGAAAAGGGGGTCCCCTCCCTCGTCCTGCCCCCCAGGAGACAGCCGGGGCAGGAACCGCAGCTGGGAGGAAGAGGAGGAGAAGGAGGAGGAGGCTGCACGCACCTCGCCTCCAGCAGCAGCGGGGTCGCCGGCCACTTCGCCGCCAGCCGAGCGGTCACGGGCTGTGAGGAGGAGGCTGGAGCGGTGCCGCAGAGGCTCGGCCGGGCGCACAGCAGGGCAAGCAGGAGCAAGAGCGCCAGCGGCAGCGCCCGGCCCGCCATGAAGAGCAGCAGCCACTCAGCGGTGCCCACAGCAAAGTCCCACACGGCCCTCGCCTCTGCCCCGCCCACACGGCCGTGCCGCGCTCCTACTGGCTGCGCTGCGGCCTCGCTGTTGGACCATTGGTCAGCCCCGAGGCCAATCAGCGCCTGACGGCACATAAATAGCGGGGCTGCCCAGGCCGGCGCGATGACACGCGGCGCTGGGGGTGGCGAGCGGGCGGCGCTCCGCGGGGCCGGAGAGGGGGCGCAAGCGCGGGAGCGGCGTTACCTCCCCCCGCCCTGAGGCGGACACTGTTGTCGACCCGCTCCCGCGGCAGTGCTCTTGTTTCCTTATTTTTCGGGTTGTTTTATGGAAGTGTGGTCTTCGCGAGGGGTGCACTTAGGTTTGACTGCGGTACGCACCGTGGGGTATAGCGGCGGTGGCTGCAGGCAGCTGAGGAGTGACACGACGGTGTTGTCCACGGAACAGCAGCTGCCTGCCCTGGCGCTCCCCAAACCTCCTAGTACCGCTGCCTGGACTGGGTCCCAAAGGGCTATTTTCCCTCAGCCTTCACCAGGCTGAAAAAAAAATCACAGAATCACTGAATTGACAGGGTTGGAAGGGACATCTGAAGATCGTCTAGTCCATCCCCCGGAAAGGCAGAGTCCGCTAGAGAAGGTTAACCTGGAATGCATCCAGGTGGGTTTTGAATGTCAGCAGAGAGGGAGAGTTCACGACCACCGTGGGAAACCTGTTCCAGTGCTCTGCCACCCTCAATGTAAAGAAGTTCCTCCTCATTTTGAGGTGGAGCTTCTTGTGTTTTAGTTTATGGGCATTGCTCCTTGTCCTGTTGGTGGGCACCACTGGAAAGAAGCTGGCACTATCAGCTTGGCAGCTGCCTTTGAGATATTTATATGCATTTACAAGATCCCCTCTCAGTCTTTTCCAGGCTGAACATGCCCAGCTCTCAGTCTCTCGTAAGAGAGATGCTCCACACCCCTAATCATCTTTGTGGCTCTCTGCTGGACCCTCTCCATTAGCTCCTTGACTCTCTTGTACTGAGGAACCCAGAACTGGACACCATACTCCAGATGATGCAAAAATGGTAATAAAGATCTTAGCAAGTGTGAGCAACTTCATACATAATATGTATATTCACCATATAGTTGTTCTACTGAGGGGGAAGTACCTAATTTTTGCCCCCTCAAAGTTTTCCAAACTGACCTCTATTTTGAAATGTGTTCTGTTTCCTAACTGCATGTTTTTTTCCTCAATAAACATGAGCTTCACAGGAACCATGCCTCTACCTTCTACCTAACTTACCTTACAGTGTTCAGGCTCATAGTCTTCAATTTCTTTATCTGTGCCTGAAATCTCAGTAGCTAAATCCATTTCCTCAACAAAGCTCCTACACTTCCTCAATTTTTCCCCAGCTGTACAGTAGAGCTAAAAGAGGCTGGTGCTTCTGCAGCTGTATTGTGGGATTTGAATACAGAGCAGCTCTCAATAGTCATTTACTGGAGGAAGAATCCTCCAGCTGTTTTAAAAATACGAGGTATTGCCTTTTCTATAACATCAGTCATGAAACTTGAAACTGAAACCTGGAACATCTTACTGCTGCATAAACTTTGTTTTGCGCACAGTCCTCTCCTGACTGCCTAAAGCTGCTGTGTGGATGGTGGGAGCCAGTGAGGGCACAACTCGAGGGAGCAGGCTGTGGATTGTATAGTTTGTTTTGTTAGTGCTCATCTCAAAGGTATAAAGCTCTGCCCTAGCAAAATGCATGTACTTAACATGCTTCTGGGTGTTTGTAATGCAAAAACATGAAAAATACATCCACAAGGGTCATTCATATGTAAATTCAGTCTGGGGCCTTTGTGGTTGATCTGCTCTCACAAATTTGTGCTGTTATAAGGCCTCACATAATTTTCAGGTACCACTGTGACACATCAGTTATGCCAACTTTAATGTAAATAGGTTGATATAAGTAAACTGGCAGTGAACCCTTCACACACCTCTGCAGAAATAATGAAAACCACAGGAGTTCATATGCAAGGCCATTAGAAATAACAAAATTCAGCATCTTTTATACAAAGAAAGGTTGTGGTAAACTGTCTAAGCAGCTTTTTTTGTTTCATATTGATGATTCAGAAGTTGCTGCTGCTGCTAACAGAGATGGCGTAGCAAGAGTGCTGTATAGGTGAATAAGTTTGGACCCCTTGTGTTTCTGTGCTAATAACCAGTGTACGTGGCCAAACTCTTGCGTCCATAGAAAGTAGAACCACATGCGAAGAACTGATAAAACACACTTCCACCACTCCCTAGCAAAGTTCAAAATGCATTTGACAGACTCAGTAGAACTCACACTACACTAGTTCTGCACAGAATGGGCCATAACTGGTTTATATTGGCCACCTACCAAAAAACATTCCAGCCCTATCAATCCTTCTATAGTTAAAGAATTACTGACGTGTTGCTTTTTTACTGCTTCTTCAGCCAAAACTGAAATGTACTAAGCACGTTCACCATGTATATACATTTACCATGCATTTTTCATAACTCCATGCAATACAATGTGATGATGGATGCACCTACATTACCCTTATCTATCAATTGGTTTTCTATATAAAGTTGCTCTGTTACATTTTGGTTTATATTGATATTGAAGAGGCTGCTATTGTTGTTTAAATGTGAACTCCTAATAGCTTGCACTTGTTTCATCTTGAGCTGTGACAATTTATAATTTGCCATACAAGAAGACAAAATCTGTTGGCACTGGCTATGGAGATACTGAATCTTTGAGTTCAGTGGCAAGACAAAGTGGTAGCTCTGAATCAAAGGTCATGTCATTAGTTTGAGGTGAACTGAAGAAAACAGCTAGTCCAGTAGTTCTCTTGAGAAAAGATCCTTTCTGCTTAAATTCGGAGATCTCTGTTAGACAAAAAGAATATCTCTGCTGAGATCTCCCTCTTGCATTTAGGATTATTGTTTTATTAGGTGCCTAAAATTTATGATCATAGATAGGTGAAATGAAGTTGGAAGGGACCTTAGGAGGTCTCTAGTCCAGCCTCCTGCTCAGAGCATGGTCAGCTCTGAGTTCCAGTCAAGTCTTGGAAAAAATCCAAGGCTGGCTCCTGCACAACCTTTCTAGGCAACCCGATCCATTGTTTAAGGTGCAATTTGGATTGCTCCTTGGAAAGAAATACAGTGTTGTAACAGAACATTACATTCCTTATAAAAGCTCTTGCATATTTATCCATTTTCCCTTTGCTGTGGTACCTTAGCTACATTCTAGCCACAAAGAGCCACAAATCTGTTTCTGTGTATTTGACAAAGGCAGATATTAATCTGTTAAGCAGTGTGCAAACATAGAAGATAGAGAGCAGACTTAATCTTCATTTCAACAGCAGAATTTTATGTAATTAAGTATTCCAAATAATATTTGGCCATTCTTGTACATACATTCCATATATATATATGTGAAAAAACCCTGAGTCCTCTGAAACCATTTTTCAGCAGAAGAACAATTACAGCAAAATTTTAAAATTATTCATATCACAGCTGTGCAAATAGGAATTGATTATCATAGCTGTTTCAGTGTGAATAGAGAGAGTGATTAATGAATGTTTCTCGATAAGATGCAAATGTTTTATAGTATAAGTCACAGTGAACTATGTCTATTTAATAGAAATAGTAACAATAAGTGAAAATAAGTTGAGCTTCATCAGCATATGCAGTTAGCTGAAAATAAAACTTTATTTTTTTAACAGGTTGAAAACAATTTTTGAGGTGAAAGGCTCCCTTTCTCTCTAACTTGGAGGTAATGTAAATGTCAAATATTAGTCAAAATATATACCTCTTACCCAGTTATTAATTGACGGCCTCCTGAGCAGTGACTGCTGGCACCCTTTTATCTTGCTGTGAGATTGGAGGCCAATCTCTTCAGAACCTGTCAATGTCACTCCTATGACAGGCATTTGAGGTGTTTCCCTAAGAGATTAAGGATGCCATACTGCATACTTTTTGTCCATTCCATTAAAGACCAGCCATGGTTATTTGATTAGCATATCTCAAGATAAAGGTATTTTGGAATAAACAATGCAAAATATATTTCATAGTCTGTTAACTTTTCATTTTGATTTACAGGGACGAGCCAGTGAAAGAAAAATTGATGCAGAAGTAACATAAGCCTAGTTTCAACAGCTCACAGAACCTGCTGTGGCAACAATCAGAATTTATGCTGCTTTGCTATGCCCACACATACAGCTGCAGTGACATCCTCCTCCCAGGATGCTTCTCTTTCCAACGTTTACTGAAAAAAAGAAAAGCAACTGAAGCAACAAAGAAAAGCAACTGAAGCTTTGTAAAATAAACACAGGAATTACAGCTTCTTATTTAAAATGACCCATCTCAGAAATCTAAAAGAATATACTTCCTGGGCCAGATCAACAAACTTCCTATGGAACTCTGGGCCTATCTGTACTGTGTAGTGGGCAACAGTAAAATGTGGCTGTAATGGGGAATGCAGCTCTATTTGCATACACCAGCTCAAGTTCATAAGCAATGCCACTGCCCTGCTGTGCCAACAAGACAGCGTGGTTTTATTGATTTCTGGATTGTACTGGCTCCTACCATGCCAAATCTGAGCAACTAACTGTACCAGTAGATAAAAATAGGGCTTATCTTTAAGATTGCAGGTTTTTCTGAGTTTGCCTAAGCTAAATCTTAGCTTATTATTACTGGTTCAAGTTCATCATGTAATAATGAGTTGGCACTTCTGATGCCAACTAACAGTCCTGGTTGTTAACTGGCGTGAGCTCATAGTTATCCTCTTATTTACAGTACTCTGTGAAGTTTTCAGGTGTTGAAAAAAAAAAGAATATTTTTCTTTCTTTCCCTGATTGTAACTTGTGAATTTGTCTATGTGCTCAGTGAGAGAAACACAGGTGATACACCAGTGATACAAAAAAAATAGTCCGAAATGTACTATAGGGCTATTAAATCACCATTGTTGATGATTCAAGTAACAATCACATACTTGTATTTTAAGCAAGGTTTGTCACATGCAAATGTTTGGGAGATTATTACTTCATGAGATAGAAAATTTATAAACAAAAAGTACAAAGTTGTGTATTTTTACATTAGTTCATAAGCTTATATGTGCAATGAAGTGCCTCAGAACAATTCTGGCCACATAGTGCCCCAACAGCATCAAAAAAGACTTCAGTGTGAAGGTATAAGTGTATTCACAGAGGAAATACAATATTTCCCAGAATAGGGCAGTAGGATTTGATTTGTAAGCCTATCATGTAAGAATCAAAAGGTGCTATTGCTACATGCAAGGTGGAAAATATTAAATACCTGTACAATGAAGTATATCAGTGATTTTTCCTTTTTAGTCAGATCAGTGAGCCGAGTTCTGAATCCTTTCCAGAATACCTAAAAAAAAGTAAGTTGGAAAATTAGCCAGTGAGTCCTGAATGTGCACTCAACCAAGTCACTTTTGACAGAAGTGAGGACTGCAGACTGTCTCCATAAAGCCAAGTGCAGTTTTTCTTTGAAGAAACTCTTCTATCCTTTGTAAACTGGTTCAGAATTTCAGTCATATTTTCACCTATGCAGGATGCAGACCGCACCATCCAGGGTTCTCCAGTGACAGCATATGCTGAGAGGCAGGGCTATTTGACATAGCAGCTCCTGCCTCAGGAGGAAATAGAGACTTGGCAGGACCAAGAAACCACTGCATGAGCTCCTGAAGAGGTAAATTCTGCAGTAACCCTCTGTTCCAGGTTCTGCCGGAGCAGCATTTGGGTCACATCAGAAGCCAGGGTGCCAGGACCAGCTGGCTCAAAGTCTGTGTGTGGCTGAGCACCCAGCAGAAGAAATCTTGTGTTTATTGCTCATTTCCCACTGAATATCTTGCTAGTGCACCTCTAATGCAGGAATGAAATCTATAACGCGCTTCTTAAAATGATCATAGAATCATAGAGTAATTTGGGTTGGAAGGGACCACCGAAAATCCTCTAGTCCAATCTCCCCTGCCATGGGCAGGGACACCTTCCAGTAGATCAGGTTGCTCAGATCCCTGTTCAAACAAACCTTGAATGTTTCCAGTGATGGGGCATCCACCACCTCTCTGGCCAACCTGTTCCAGTGTCTCACCAGATGAGAATGACTTTCCAAAGCCCTCTGCATTGTGTCGTTCTAATTTCAGAGAGAGGTGACACTTAGGATTACACCCTGTCTTTTATGATCCTGTGACTCTTGACTGGAAAAGGTGCTAAGCAACCTGAGGTAACTTTGAAGCTGACCCTGCTTTATGCACAAATAGAACAAGAAGCCCTCTGGTGCACTTGTCCAATCTAAACTACGCTGTGCGATTTGGTATGCTACTTACATAGAACTTGCTTAGCATAACTTCCTTGGTGTTACTAGCTTAATTTGCTGAAGCTGTAGGCTGCAAGCTGTGAACTTTCACCTAGATATGTTGAACTTTTACCTGGTCAAGTAAAAGAAGGCCCCAGAGCCAGTTCAAACCAGAAGACGAGGGAAGTACAATCATCAGCAGAAGCTGCAATCTTAGAGACAAGAAGAGAAAACGTCTCGCCTAGAGATAGTGAAGGGACCCAATGAAGAACAGGAAGACCCCAGTCAGAATCACAGAAATGTGGAGTTGGGACTTCTAGAGATCATCTAGTCCAAACCCCTGCTAAAGTAGGTTCACCTAGAGCAGGTTGCACAGAATAACATCCAGGCAGGTTTTGCATACCTCCAGAGAAAGAGATTCTACAACCCCTCTGGGCAGCCAGTTCCAGTGTTCTGTCACTGCCAAAGTAAAGAAGTTTTTCCTCATATTCAGATGGAATTTCCTGTGTTTCAGGTTTTCCCCACTGTTACCCTAATATTACTGCTGGTGCAATCAGTTGCAGGGATACAACTGATGGGGTGGGGAACTTAGGTTGTAAGGGTATAATTGCTCAGTGATTTCTTTGTGCGGGGTCCCTCTTTGGGGGCACCCAGCTTGAGCTGTAGTGCTATTTATAAGAAGGATTTTATAGAAAAGTCTCTATTTGGCTTACTGTGTCAGCGAAAAGCTAGTGGAATGCTGTTATGGTGGTTGGCATGAGTAATTTCCTAAACAACTATTCTGTGACTCTTAAGTGTAATTTATTTTAACTAAAGGTTTGTGTAGGTAAAGCAAAACAGAATAAGCCATGCTACTTTATTGTGTGAAATATGATGGATTTGTTTCCAGTGGAACAAATTCCAATGCTGCTTTTCAGATTTTGCTGTGTCTCTTCTATCTGTCTCTCCTTTTGGGAATGTTAGAAGCAAACTACTAGATAGGTTTCTCACCTGTCAGGGGTCATTTCAGCTCACTTCCCAAATGTGAAAAAGAATGCTTATGGAAAAATAATCTAAGGCTATTCTTCCAGTGATTTATGCTGAATATCTTTAGAGGCAACATAGGAGCATTACTTTTAAATGATGCATATTAATAGTTTATGTCCTTTTCAGTTAATCTGACTATATAAAATTTTCAATTTTTATGATTTATGCACAAAGTTAATTACAATCCATTTTGTGAATGCAGCTTTAAAAATCAATGTAAAAAATAACAGTTACGTGTAAATGAAAGAGAAGCAAAAAGTGCAGCCACAAGCTCTTACAAATATAATGAAAATTAATTTATTACTCAAGTCTTTTATGACCTTCTGTTATTAAAACATTAAGAAACTCCCTGAAGTTAAATCTAATCTGGAAAACACACATTCACATATTCCAGGCAAATATATACTATAGGAACACTGTGAGAATTAAAGCTCCCAGAAAAAAATTAAGAATTATGATTCCCGTATCTTTGAAATCAGCATGCTGTATCCATGAAGACATGATAAAATGTGTACTTAAAAATGTTCATACACCATAGAAAAGACAGGAATTACAGTTTTTAAGCACTGGAATGTACACAGATAAATTAAATTCCAGGTTTGTAATAGCACAGCACGTTTCTTTGGTTCCAATGGCACTGACCACTCAAAAATCAGAGGAAGTACAGTCCCAGGGAAATAAGGGGCCACCAAACACTTAAATTTAACTGCAAATTTGTGATTTACATGTATCTATTAAGAGATTTAAATATGCATATTTCTGGAGCTGTGCACCTGTGTGTTGAAGTGATTGCACATAATTAGCAATGTGATTATCAAATATGTTTTCACATGCTGCATATAATTAGACTTAGAGAAACACACTACATTTAGAATATTTTAATGTAGATAAACTTTGAGGGCAAAAATGAAGGGTTATTAAAGAAAAGTAAATCGTTTAACCCCTAAAGAGCTACCTTCTGCTAATGCTATCTCCTGTATCCTTCTTCTGGTAGAGGGATTCCCAGCCCTGAAGGTTTACTGCAGTGGTGAGGTAAGGGCAGTGGGATGGGCTTTTTCATCCCACCCTAGTGCTGCTGAAGGAGCAATGTGCAGTTCCAGACTATGGGACACTGAATACACAGAAAGAAAGAAAAAAAGAGAAGGCAAAAGAATTAATACTATGTGCATGCTATCTCGATGCATCCTCTTTTTAATATCTTCATTGCTAAAATAAAATGGTCATGCATCTAGACAGATATTTGTCTAACTTCTAAGATTATACACAGGTATTGTGTATACATATATAGTGTGTATATATATATATATATATGATAAGCACATAGAATTAACATCTCAAACTAAGGGAAAATTATGTTTATCTTTTAGTTTGTAATAAAGATAGGTTTCTGTCTGGAAACCTTGGCTTTATTTTGGTTTTCCATTATTCTTTGATTGTGGTTTCCTAGATTAAATTAAGTTGAATCAGAAATACACTGCTGGTACTGGTTATTCACATTTGTTAACTGCTATTCATACTATAATTTTGATAACTGACAGTTATCATAAACAATTTACTAAATTATATTAGGCTGATAAATTTAGGCTTTCTGAAACTATTAAGGTTAAATGATAGGTTTACTCTGATACTAAAGAATGAAAAGTGAGATCCTGCCTGCTGATGGCAAACTTTTCTGAAAGGGTCTTTCTAAGAGTCTTCCTTCCAAAAGAAAGTGTAAGCTTCTATTTTCCCCACAATTTTGCTATAAACTTGAGGTTCTATTTCTTAGCAGGTGGGAGAGACAATGATAATTATGCTAAAAACATCTGGATTCAAATAAAATACATTGTAAATGCATATGAATTTTTATGTTATTATCATAAACATCAATTCAAATATTTTAAAATATATTAATTCCCAGTTATGCTTGCACATAAGCACAAATGAGTGTGCAGGGCTGCTAATTGTTTTACAGATCAAATTCTGATATTTCACTCACCATCACTGGTCTGCAAGCCACAATGTGACTATACTGCTGTGCACCGTCTCTGTCTTCTCTTAGCAGTGCAATTCTCTTTCTATTTCAGCTTTTCTTTTGCCACAAGATGACATACAGTGTTGGTAGTTTGTAGTTACATGCTTCTCCTCACTAAACCACGTTTACTTCAGGTGCCCTTAGACCCACTGGTCAAACAAGCTGCTTTGACCAATCTGTATTTTGATCTCCTTTTTCTGCCAGCCAGAGAATTATTCCCTTATTTTTTGCCCATTCTTAATCTGAACAAACAGTCAAGCAATCTTCACCTCAACTCTCTCTCTGAATTTACAGTTTATTCATCTCAAACCTGTCACAGTGTTGAACAATTTTTCTTCCTTCTCATATTTCTTTCCTAGTCACTGGTTTGTTGCAGACAGACTGCAAGGCCAACAGATGCTTCCCTCAGCTGAGGGTTAGGGGAACTATTTGTATCTTGACATTTGCTGCCACAGTTTGCTGTTATAGGTTAAAATTCACAGTTCTTATGGTAATTACAGTTCCTTTAATCCAAGATAATAGGATAAATTAGTGCTGGAGATGGATGTCTCAAACCAAGACTTCAAACTTGGTATGAGTACCTAACATGTACTCATACTACATACATAACTACAGTACTGGTGACTTCTCTGTGTTGTGACTTTTGTAGGTTGGCCAGATTTGAGATAATAAGAGTATTCTGCTGCTGCCCCAGCTATAAAATAACTTACATCTCTTCATCATTAAACTTGAATTCCTCTCAGCATTTTCCAGAAGTCCAGCTGGACTTTTATCTGATGACAGGACCAGTATTTCACTGATCTTAGTAGAATAATTTAAAGAATAAATAATACCATTTCTATATATTATAAATACACAAAAAGACAATATTAAATCTTTGTATGGCTGTCCGTTAGGGAAGAACCACTGATGATATGCCTTTATGTGCTTATAGAAGCTTATAGTTAGGTAAATATGAATGAGTTAAGAAAAATCCCCAAAGAAGGGGGCTGAAGTGTTCTAAAAGCTCTCATAGGAGCACATAAAAAAGTGCAGTTCTTGAATTCAAAGTATCCAGGTTGACTTGCTGAAATGAATCCAGGAAACATCTAGTAAGAAATAGTGGCAAGCCAGAAAGCGATAACGGTTCTCAACTTGCTGTGATTTTCAGTAAGAAGGTGGAGGTCAGTTATAAAAGAAAGGTTCAGACTTGCAGACAGCTGTGAAAGCCAGATAGGGGTGCTAGAAGTGGAGCCTGATCTGCCATTTGCAATGCTTTTTCTTCATTTTTCACCTGTATCCCATAGAGATCAGATGAAAGAATCTGAGATCATGTACTACAGAAATAATTTTTTTTCCATTTTGGAGAGGGCAACTTCTTGGAAGATTTTTTTTGTCGTTGCTATCGGGGCTTTTTCTTTTCTTTGTTGGTTTGTTTGTGTGTTTTTTGGGTTTTTTTTTATTATTTTTACATCCCGTCCTAAAGACTGAAAAGATTAAAAAAAAAGAGGGAGAAAGCCTAGTGGATAATTTCTAATATTAATTCATATTTGTTTCTCAGGAGACACTAAAGTTTCTAAACTTTATATAGAGTTGTGATGAGGATTTGTATCAAGATAGACTCTGTCCAAGGCACATCTAAAAGTCTGTCCTGAAGGAAAAGACAAGATACGACCTGCACAACTTTGAAAACCTTAGTAATTTGACTTCTAGACACAGGCAGAAGTGCTCAAGATAAAGTGATAGTGAGATAAGTTATGTTTGATGGGGACTTACAGACTAAGACCACCCGAAAGAAAGCAAAATGTTTTTGTGTGATGCTAGGCATAAGAAAATACTTCTGTGACACTTATCACCAGGTGGCAGTGTTACACAGTCTTGCAATTCCTATACGTTGTTATATGAGTAGTTTTGGGGTCTTGGTGGGAATACTGATAGGGATATTTGTTAGTTTTTGCTAGACAGAAGGAAGCATGTATCAATTTCAGAGGAGCCAGATCTCTCTGTGCATTGATCTCTCTGATCAGAGTCAATTCTTGGGAGGAAGCTGCACTATGGGAACTTGGGCATTGACTTTAACAACTTTACCTTCAAACATGGAGTTTATCACATGCTGTTAGACTGTTCTTTACTAGGAAAACCAAAATGCCATATGAAAAATGCAGTAACAATATCCTTCACATGATTTTCAGTCTGAAGCATCTCTTCTAGTACCCAGATGTGAAAAAATAAATGTGGACGTGGTGCAGGTGACATGGCTTTGATCTGTAATAAGTCCACAAAAACTTCTCTACACTCTAGACTTTGCATCATAAATATTGCAGGATTCAGGAGGCTGAGAGCTGGAAGGAATGCGTCTAAGTATATCTAAGTTCTGTGCAGAGAGCAGAAATTAGAGAGCAATTTGCTATGTCCTTTGAAATGCTTTCCTCTGGCCTTCTTGTTGCAGATGCTGGTTGTAGAGAGCATACACAAACACCCTATGTTTAGGGATTACAAAAAAACCCTACCCTGCATTTCTGACTTTATGCTTTCTCCCTTTGTGCAAGACCAGCATTTGCTGCCAGTCACTTGATATGGCATCTTTTAACTGGAATATTTCTAACTTCACTGAAAGTATCTTCACACTCACCAACTATATCTGGCCATATCGTGAAGCCACACACATCTTTTGAATGGCAACAGCAGCCAGAGGCTGTTTGGCTAATTTGCAGGTGCTGGTCATGCCTCACATCATCCTTGCTTGGTTATGCCACAGTACAAAAGGCAAGAGAGGGAACATAAATTTTTTCTTACTTAAGTTGAAACCTGCAAATGCTCAGCGGTGGTGTCTACATTAGTAAACTAAACATGTCCAGGAACTGCCTTGGGTACTGAGGCCAAATAGCATGACATGGTCTGACCTACACTGAAGCTGTAATCTTGGTCATCACTGAGTGCTGGTTGGAAATGATTTCTGGAATGGTTTGACTCCCAAATTACATCCAGGAGCTGTTTGGGAGAATGCTAGTTGGCACATGCACAAACATGGTTAGAACATTTTGTCATTCTTTATTCTGCTAGATGTCCACGTTACAAAGCCCAGGAATGATCCCTGGTGCAAGAGCAAAAATGACCAAGTTTACATGGTAGAAACAAGATCTACCTTTAAATTTCTTATTTTGGCATTGATCTAAAAGATCTAGCTCAAAATTTCCAGATATGTTCCATTTCTGGGAAATTACCTTCCCAACAACTGTAACTTAAAGAAAGGTATTGAAAGGTATTGTATTATTCCTATGGGGAGTTATATGGTTGTAAACAAAAACAAACAAATGAACAAAGAAAAATACTAGAATGTTGAAAGTGATTTGTGATGTTCCAGTTGTCTAAGGTCATTGTCTTACACAGGCAGAATATAGCTGATCCTTTCTCTCATAAGAAAAACATGCAGGAGTGACTTGCAGAAGTCCCTGCACACGGACAAGAAATTGGCTGACAACATTTTGTCTAAAGTGGCTGCGTTATAATTAAAGGAAATTCAAGGTGGTCATAGGTTTAATAAAATTACCACATCCAGAAAAAGAATGGCAAGCAAGAGAAGTGAAAAGTAACAAGCGTTATGATGAAATGCAACTTTACAAGAAGAAAGACTGGTGGCAGTGTGATGCATAAACTGTTTTAAGAGGAAGAATGCGGCCCTCAATGTACCATTGAAATGAAGATTTGGTAAGTGCACATACTGAAATTTAATCCGACAACAAATACTGGAGGTTTATATTCTAAACATTAAAACAAATTAATCCCAGAGAGATGATTGCAGTTAGTGTGCATTTATTAATTTAACAATTTGTATCCTCATGACAAGAGAAACACCTGGGACTCGCTGCACAATGAAAAATTGGTTTATTGGAAATCTTAAATGGCTACAAGCATTGAAACAGCTCAGGTCAAGCGGTGATAAATAATTTAAAGAAACCAGTGTGAGGTAGGTGTCACTTTAATTTTACATTAACAGATCTATTAGATATTAACCTTATCAGACAGGTAATTGCTAAATGAAATCATGCTTTTGTACCTTTGCTTCATAATATTATTTGCTGACTCATG